TTCAATTAATTCTGGTATAAATATTTGTCCATCTTTAAACCATGTTATTTTAGCTTTTGGTTTAGCTCGATATGGACATTTAAGTGAAATAGATGCTGATGTTGGATAAACTAATGTTTGTTTTTGTGATAAAACAGGTTCAAACCAATGTGGTATACATTGTATTGAACAATTAATTGCTTGAAAATATTCAATTTGTTGTGGTGTTTGTTGATCACCATCATAATAAGCATCATCCAAGAATGAAGAATTGATTAAAGAATCTTGATTTTCTATTGCTATACACATATATATATATATATTAAATTAGATAAATAAATAATAAAAAAAAATCATGAAAATATTTAATTTAAATTTTCTTACATTTTTCATTTGTAATAACACTATGAATATTGATTATTACAATGAAAATAGTAAAGAATATTTTGATTTGATGAAAAATGATCATTATCTAAATAAAGAAGAAAAAAATAAAATTCAATTATGATCATAAATTTTCATTCAATTGATTTATATAACAATTCAATTGGTCTGTTAAATATACTAGTCATATATATTTAATAAAATAGACAACAACACTGATGCCTTATTAAGTCGTTGTATACGCATCTATCTGATTTCTTCGTGTTCTGTTTATAGTCTACACAAACTTCGATCGATTTGTCCTTGTGAAGCATCAATCAAGTCATATCGTACTTTCTTTATCTCTTTCCTATTCTACAAATAAGCAAATAATCATTCTATTTTCTCTCGTATTCTTTCTTTCTATCTAAACATTCTACATTGTACAGATCTGGATTTGTTCGACACCTTTCTATATTAATATTCTTTAGTAAATTAACATAATCATTGAAAAATCAACAACTAAAAAAAAGAAAAAAAAAAAAAGAAGGAAAGTAAATTCATCTAGGCTTCATTTTTGTTTTTGTAAGTATTCTCTTTTATTCTATATTTCGAATGTGATAGAAAAATCTATAATAATAATAACGATTATTTTTTTCTTACTGCTATTCATCAAACGATCAAACAGAAGGTGGGCGAAAGAGTTCTATCCGTCTATCTTTGTTATCAAAATGTCATTTCATGTCGCGTTTTCTCTCTATGTCTTGATCTGGTAATGGAATGAAATTAGCATTCTTGCAACCTACTATTGATAACTGCAATTTGATATATTCTTAGCCAGATAGAGTCGGCTGGTATTTATCTTTTTTCTTAAGTTTTAATTATTGACAACTCAAGGATAATTAAACGTATAGAATTTATATTCGAAATTTTATTCAAAAAATAATTTTGTAGTCCTCTCTAACCACTATTAATTCACTTCGTTCTCATCAATAATCAAAGATAATTTGCAATTATGTGAATAAAACAATTAATTATTCATATGATGAGGTAATACATCAATTGTAAATAAATAGAACAATTGCAGACATTTGACCTTCGTGTGTGTATTTGGACGAGTTATAATAGATGGAAATTTTCTTTTTTCTTCATAACTATTCTAATCATATAAACGAACAAAATTATGATGTCAAGAAAAAAGAAACATCGAAAATTAATGATACCAAAAAAAAAAAAGAATCCAAAGAAAGAAAGAAAAAAATATTCACATTCGTATGTATTCATATCAGAATAATTTCATAAAAGTTTCTAAGAAAAAAAAAAAGAAGTAATCCCTAAATAAATGTTCTCTAAATATATATATATATATATATCATAAAAACAGTAACTATTATTTGAAAATCGAGCTTACCCTCGATGAAAAAAATTATCGCTATTTTATCATTGTCAATAATCAATAGCCTAGAGAAGTTGTAACTTAGATCTCTCTCTTTCTGCAATTATTTTCCTTCATCACTCAAAAACATAAGCATATTAACAAAAAATACATGAATATTTGTGGTTAGAGCACTTGTCACAAGATATATGTACATACTCAAGAATTATATATACTTGACAATAGATAAATAAAAATCTGTTGAATAATTCCAATTTTACAAATAAATAAAAACTTAAAATAATTTGATATTAAACATACATACGTGATAGATATAAGAAGATAATATTCATAGAAAATATAATCATTGACGAAGAAAACGAATAAGATACACTACATCCGTTTCTAATCAATAATCTCACAATTCTATCAACTTTTTCTCGGTTAATCGGTACTTTTGATCACCCGACAATCTAGTATATTATACTGACACATGACAACAACAACAAGAAAAACAACAACTGGAATTGAAGCGATCAACTACAGCTGTAGTCAATCGTATCTTTCTTTACGATCAATTGTTGATAATAGATCTTGGTCACACATGGTGCCTAAATGTATATACTACATAGAAAGAAGACGAAGAAGAAGATAAAAACGAACAACGAGAAAACATAATCACTTAAATGAACATATAAAAACGTATATAATGTATATATGATATGATTGAAGATATCGACAATCAAATAAATATATATATTTTCTGTTCACATTTTGTTGCTACTCTATTGCAATCACATGTGTTCTCATCACCATCATCATCATCATCGTTGTGTACATGTATGTGTCGTTGTCGTTGTGTTACTTTCAAGGGCGTACACGAGCACGCAATTATTCTTGCTTTTTTTTTTTTTACAACAAGGCACCCTACAGAAAAAGACATAACTATGACGTTCTTCCTATTTCACGTGCAATGAATACATATATATATATACGGATACTGCATACTTAAACAAAAAAATGCATTAATAACCTTCTGCTCTGTTCAATTTAAATAAAAAGAGAACTTAAAAAAGACGATATAGCTCTTATATTTTAAAAAAGTATCACTATTACTATTAAAAAGAAAAGAAGGATTAGCAAAAAAAAAAGAGAAAAAACCATGAAATCAATAAAGTAGTAAAAAAAGAAAGTCACGCTTATACCTATTTGATATGTCTAGTAAATCCTTCGATTGCCTTCCATAAAAGATACCAACAAGTTGTTGTTACTACACTCTTTTTTTTCTGTGACTAGCAAATGTCAACGATCATCAATCTTTTGCTGGTGTATTAGCAGTAGTTGCAGTAGATTGTGCAACAAGCGGATGTGCACATGCGGCAAAGGTTTCTTTTCACTCTCCCTTTCTTTCTTTGCTTTCTCGATGAAATGTGTCAACAAAATAAACGATCTATAGCATATACATATACGCATATCTATGCATACACACACACATATATATATATATTAGACGGAGATATAGTTTTTATAATCAATGTTGTCTTATCAGTCGACGATGGAATAAATTGAAACTGTTCGTATAGAACTAGACGGAGATGACCCTTTTATTGTGAAATTGCTCACCTGTTCGACGCGTCGTTAAAAAAAGTTTTTACTTAGGTTATTTTTTAGTTCTTATCTGTCTGTTTTATTCACACACGTTTATATATCAGTGAATAAATGATAATAATGACAATAGTGGTTGTTTCATAATTACAAATTGAAGAAAAATATTGACAGTATCATACTATTTTTTTATAAGTCTATGTATATAGCATATATTTTCGTTTTTTGTTTCTTATCGGCATAGAGCAAAGAAAAAAAAATGATACTTAACTAATATTTTAAAAAAATCAACGCTGTGAACCGAAACATTGTCGTAGATATAGGTAAAGAAAAATATACCGTAGTTATGTAGAATGATAGTGTGATGGTGGTGAAGAACAGAACAAACAATGACAACAAACGAAGAAGATAGAAAAGAGAGATGGAGAGAAAAAAAAAGTAGGCAGATATCCCACACACGTACGTATATTAATGCCCAAAAAGGTGATGGCGTGCCTTGTTATTCTCCTTCCCGCTCTCTCTCTCTCTCCCTCTCTCTTTCTTTCTTGTCTATTCTTCATCATCGCTATTTTCTCCTTCGTCTCTTTCTCTCTCTTCTCCTCACACCAACACCGCACGATATCACTTCCCCATCAAATCATCACTGATATAAATATATGCAGAATATGCAAATTTTTACAATTAAAGAGGCAAACACCTAGTAAACCATATTCATAGATGACATGAAGTGATATGTATCTGATAAATATCTGAACAAGGTATATGAAAAATACTCAATTAAATTTTTTTCTTTTTTGCATACTTATACTTAAATAAATATGAGAAATTGAAAAGTGTGACACTAGAAAACGGAAATTCAAATCCGATACAGGAAGTTACAAAAAAAACCTTATTAGATAATCAATCTATTGTTCTTACTTCTTTTTTATTTCTTTCGCACTTAAGCAATACGTTTGATCGTTAAAATAATGAACATGTATAGTTACGGTGTTTTTTTTTGTATACTCATATATCTATCTTACGTAAGATAATAGATCTTAATGAAGTTATTTGATTTATGATTTAAATATCTAATCGAAATCTATTACTTATTTTATTTTCTACATAGAAGTTATTTCATTGAACCATAATATGAATATAATAAAAATGGCATCGAACCATATTATATCGAACACATATAGTGAACACAGACAATATTATAATGAACTTGTTCTAATTGTATAAATACAACTAACAGTGCAATAGTTCGACAAATGAGATAAACAAATTATTTGTTCGTACAACAACTACAAATAATACTGGCTTAGATTAATTCTGCTAGCGAATGTTAAACAAAAGTCTTGTATTCATTAACCCAAACATAGTAATCATAACAATATTCTATGATGAACATATGCATATACTCGATCATAATATCTATTAAGTGAATACATGTAGACAGAAAGAAATTCACGTAAATAATCAGTGAAATGAAAATAAATGTGATTATTTCTTTCATATATATATATATCAACAATAAATTAGAAATGATCATCAAGAGAGAAAGTTTAATCTCTATAGAATAATATGTCTTATACAAAAAAAAAAACCACAGATGTTGTTTTTTTTATTTCATTTGAAGAATTCAATTTAAAATCGCGCATTTTTATTTGCTGATTTTCATGCTTTAATTGTATCAATGTTATCATCTAGTGAAGAAATAGTTATAACATCAGATGAATCATCATTATCTTTAGATCATGGTGATCAACAAGAATTTTCATCTTTTAATAAACATATTTCATTAACAATAGATAATAATTATATAAATGCATTAAAAAATTTACAAATATCTTATAATCAATTGGAAAGTCGTTATTTAAAATCTGTTAATGAACTTGAATATAAATTTCATGAACAATGTTCATATTTATTTCAAAAACGTTCAAATATAATTAATGGAATATATGAACCAAATGATGATGAATGTCGATTAAAAACTGATTCTATTGAATTACTTGAAAGATCATCATTATCAAATGATAGATTAGGAATTCCTTCATTTTGGTTACAAACACTTAAACAAGTGAGATCAAAAATAAATACAGAATTGAGAAAAAAATAGTCTCGCATTTTGTCAATATTAGAGTTCTGCCAAGTTGATTCCGAACTCGGTCAGATTTAGATTCGAAAATTTATGTGTACATATTTCAATATAAGAGTATGTCTGAAACATGAGTTTACCTCAATCATTTAAATCAAATGACGATTATAATAGATAGTAAAGAATTGCATTTTTTTATTTTTTTTTATTTTATATGTCTGAAAAAAGAAGAACTTGATATAGCCATTTTCCCATGATCTATCGGATGAGACAAAAAAAAAATATCTGCTAGCGTTTGAAGACTATAACTCAGTATTATTTGTATGAATCAAACTGAAACTTGTACATTGTCTATATTTATAATTGAATATGATTATTTTTCATAAAATGAAAATAAAATTCCAATTATTTTTCATGTTAGTATAGAGAACGCAGAGACAACAATCTTCGATTAAAATACTTGATAACAGGTGACGAATAAATTAGTAGACAATCTTTTCAGGTTAAAAGCTTAAAATAAAAATAGGCATTCTTTACTACAATTTTCGTTGTGTTTAAGTAATTGTGACAGATATCTATAATAACCAATATGTAGAGAAGATTGTTGATTGTTGCTTTCTATTGTAAATAAAACTTTTAGAAAAACATTATTTATGTTAAGGTACCTATGATTGCTGATATGATTGAAGAATGGGATGAACCATTACTTAAATGTCTTTCTGATATTAAACTTCAATTACATAATCAACCAATAATTGGTTTTACACTTGAATTTCATTTTAATGAAGAATCAAAAAAATTTTTTAATAATATAATTTTAACAAAATTTTATGAACTACAAATTGAACCTGATGATGAATTACTTTTCTATGAAGGTACAGCTATAATACGTTCAATAGGATGTGAAATTGATTGGATTAATTTAAAAACAAATGTAACACGAAATATTGATACAGGTGAATTACAATCATCATTTTTTAATTTTTTTACATCATCAACAAATATTGATGATTGGAAATTAGCAACTGATTTTCAAATTGGTCATTATATACGTGAAAATATTATTCCAAAAGCAATACTCTATTATACAGGTGATATATTTGATGATGAATATGAATTTAGTGAAGATGATGATGATGATGATGAAGTTGATGATAGTGATGAACAACAATATTCATTTAAAGAAGAAACTGGAGAAGGAGAACATTTATAAAAGAAAAAAAAAGAAAGAAAAAAAAAATATTCTTACTAATTTGTGTTATTCTAATATATTTGTTTGTGATTAAACACATTATATGTTCCATATCTGGAATAAATAAATTCATTTAGAAGAAATTTTTTGAATAGATTTTTATTAATATTTATTAGTCCCAAGTAGCATCTGTTTCATTTGTAGGCCATTCATTATTTATTGTTTCTTTTTTTATTTCATTGATAAACTCATCATCATCATCAATTGTAGATATTATTTGATTATTAGAAGTTTCGGTTTCTGTTTTTGTTTCTGTTCTAATGGATGGTATAGATGATGGAAGACCAAATGAAAAATTGAAATAACCTAATGTAAAATCATTTGCAATGATTGCCATTAATACACTAAAAAGTACAGAAAAGAAATATATTAAGATACATGAAAGCTTTTTCTTTGTTCGATTGCTGTTTGCTGATTTTATATTATTATAAGTAAGAGAAAACAAGTGAAATGGTTTGTTTTTTTTTTAATATCAACAGACAAGGAATGCTCGATTCAAAGGAAAAAAAAACTACGCACTAAATTTATTCATAAAATGAATCTCCGACCAAATCAGAGTATGTAACGATTGCTTGAAAAGTGCTGCTTTCATTTCATTTTCAGTATCTGGTGGCAGCAGCTCGTTGTGAAGACTTGATAGTTTTCTTGTTAGAAAGAGCAGAGTCTTTACAACAAAACAATGTGAAAAAAGTATTTGGCTCAAAATAATTAATTGAAATTTGAAAAATTGCCGTTCAACTATAATTGCGTCGTCTCGAAGATACGAGATATTGTTTTCTAGCATTTCGTATTCGATAATTAGCGTACTCTATACATTTCTCAGACGACTAGAGCCAATTGAGTTTTAAATTCTTAAATGCGGAACCAACTCGACAGAATTCACCAGTAACTTCAGATAGAATAAGTGAATGAGAAGTGTACTACATGGCTCAGTATTACAATCGTATTTGTCCGTGTGTGATACGCAGAAACATGTTCGTAATACTGAGCTACGTAATAAACTAAAATAGAGTCGTATAAGGTGAGAAATTTTTTTTTTTTTGTTATCCTACGCAGTCATTCGTATTATAGTTACCGTATTATAATTATGTTACAGAGAGAGAGAGAGGCATAAGCAAATTTCTGTTTTCTAAACCTTATCATTTCATTCTAGACAATGATTTACTTTTATTTGAAGTATATATATATTTATACATCTGTTTTGTTTGTTCTTTTTTAAATTATTTCAAAATCATAAAGAAAATATAAATAGTTCATTAACCTCGAAATATTTTCATGAATATTTGATGGTAATGTTGAAGATAATATTGATCTTAAATTAAATAAATCATCAATAGTTAATTGTTCATCATTTGATATAGGTAAAACAAATGTCAATGGTTGATCATCAGATGATCTACCAATAAAAAATATCCATTTATTAACTTCATTAAAATATACATGAAGTTTCGACCATTTACGACCTATATTAAATTAAAAACAATGATAAATTTTATATATTTTAGAATATTGAAATTATTTTCATTATTATTAAATTATTTATACTAACAAATTTTTAGATCAAAATAAACACGTTGTGCAAATGCTTTTTGTTTTGGATCACATAAATTCATCTGAAATCAAAAAAGAAAAGTCAAGGAAAAAATAACTATGAAAACAAAAAAAAAAAAACGAATAAATTTCAATAGTCTTTTATTTAGATAGTTGATCAATTGGTAAATGTGGTCGATCAATTGTTTTTGGTAATTCTAAACCAACAATATTTGCAGCTTGTTGAACAGTTCTTTCACCTTTTGAATATGTTGCATGAATTATTTTACGTTGACGTACACTTTGTAAATAAGTTAAATAAGTTTGTGCAATAAATAAAACTTCATCATTATGTTTACAATATTTTGATGTTATTGGACGATAACGACGATATTCATCTTTAATTTTAAAATAAATTGGTGAAAATCGATATGAAAATAAAGAATTATTTATAGATAATTCACGTAATAAATGTTTATAAACTGTAAGAGCTGATTTGCTTGTCATATCTATAATAAAATTGAAATATTTATACATATATATCTATAAGAGAAAAATAAAATTTTGTTTTTTGTTTTATTGATATCAAGAAATACTTATAGAGACTTTTTTCGATATATTTACTAATTGTTCATATAGTACTCGGCTTTAGATAGATACGAAAAACTGATACTTCTACATTGAAATTTGTACTATATTGTATTTTATTTTTGTTGGTGAGGTTTCAAATTTCTCAGAATAATTTAAAAGATGATATACAAGACTTTATAAAGGTCAAGAAGATATTGAAAGAAAAGTATGATTTTGTATGTTGCTAAATCATCGTATTATTAATGATCATATTTACAATTGATGAATTGCAAGCACAAACTTATCTAAATCATGATATTATTCAATGAATAGTTTTCGATTATCGTAAACTTCAAAAGATTACTACTTATTATATGTTAAAATGGGTTGATCATGAAAGATCTGATCTAAATAATAGGTCTAATATATAAAATTATATTTTATTGTTCATCATCGTAAAAATAGATGTGATAATTATAATATCAAATATTCTCGAAATGTAATAACAAAATAGCATCTACACATTTTACTTAATATTTGACACATACTACAATAAAGTAAAAAAATAATAGTATTAACATTCGAAGATACGAATTACTCTTTCTATTCATACTAAACTTACATATTATTTGTTAATAAATCAAAAACTCAACATATCTACCTTAAAAAATATTTAATTTTTCACAATCAATAAGTTTTATATCAAAAGTATTATAAAAACTTTTGTCAATATTTACTTTGACTATTATAAGATATAATTTAAGAGAGATACCAAATATTTCATATTGTTTTAATAAATTTCTTATACATACTCTTATGAAAGCTTCGAAAAAAAAGTTTATCGCTTTAAAACTCATAAATAATCAAATAAAGAATAATTTTCAATTATAAAATTAATGATCATGATCGATCTAAAAGAAAAAAAAAGTCATATATAAGAAAATATGAATAAAAAACTTCTATCAAAATTCTACATTGAATTAAATTAGTAAATTTAATAGATCTATCATCAATTTTAATAAATTTATTAATTTTATCAGGATGATTCGATACAAGACTTTAATTTCGATTTTGATAAATTGTAATTTATCTATTTTTTTTCAAAATACGATCTTTTATATTGTATAACATTTTATTCTATAAGATAAAAAAACGAGATTCTTTTTTCTTTTTTTTTTATCATATTCTCCTATTGCAAAACGTTTAAAATACAAAATAATATAAACTTTAAAAAGAAAAATGAGATTTAGATCTTTGCTTATGGTATATTTGTTAACAGTTGATCTCTTGACCAATTCGCATATCTTTCTCGCCATCGTCTATTTAAAAAAAAAAAAGTAATCCATTTTCTATGCAAACAATATATTCGTATACTTTGCTTCGGCATATTCACTTTCATATTGAAAATGAATAATATGTGGTATTGGTGAATAATCACGAATGAGTAAATATTTTGCTAATGGTTGATCAATTATAAATGGTATATATTTTATAAATTGATAATTAATAAAATAATACCAAATACAAGCAAATATTGTACCAATAAAACCACCGACAACAACTTGTGCAATTGTATGATAATAAAGATAAACTCTAAATAGTTGTTTTTTTTTTAAATATTATTTCAAAATTAATTGAAATTTTTCTTTACCGACTATAAGAAACTAGTAAAGCAGCAATAAATTGTACTAGAATAAAACAACGATGACGTATTGAACATATATAAGGTGTACCAGGAATTTGTGATCTAATATTTTGTTTGAATAGAATGAATAAAGAAAAATATTATTTTTATTATATTATTTGCAATAATTATGACATACTTAAGAATAATAAAAATAGCTAAATATGTCATAAAATAGAAAAAACTTTGAGCATGACCACTCGGCATACCATGAATTTCATAATAATCCATTCGATCTCGAGCTAAAATAAAATATAACTCTATAAAAAAATCAAAACTTCTTTTTTTTTTCTTAGATTATGATAATAATCTCGCATATTTTCTTGTTAGAAATCAAATTCAGCTTTTTTTTTAAATATATCTTTGTAGTTTTCTTAATTTATCATATTCGAAGAATTTACTTCTTTCTGGTCGTTGTTGTTTAAAAGTTATTTTAAGATAATAATTAATTATTCCACATATAAAGAATCCAGTAAAATACATTATCTATTTTGTATAAATTCATATAGAATAAACTAGAAAGAAGAACAAAATTATTTCTACCGTTTGTATATCACGTCGAAATAGAATTAATGTACATAAAGCAACAATATAAATAAATGGTAACATTGAAAACCATGCCAAAATAAAGCCAAATTTATCACCTAAATTTTTGACAAAAAAAAAACTCGAACTTCATTTTAAAAAATTATTTAAATTATAATTTACCATCTTGATATTCAATAAATGTTACTAAAAAAAAACAATTACAATAATTAAAAATTAAAATAAAAAAATCATACTTGATAATGGTCGATAAATAGGATCAGAAAAAATACCTGCTGGTGGTAAATTAATCAAATGCTAAATACGAATAAATCACTTTTTTTTTTAAAATTAAATACAAAAAATAAAAAGAGATTTTAAAACCTTATAAGCAGGTTTAATAGTGCTCAAAACATGTGAACTACTAATATTAGCATTTGTCGGTATAATTGGTGGCATAATCAATAAAATTAAGTAAAAAAGAATAAAAAATTTATCACATAAATAAAATTTAATGATTAGTTATCATTTATTCTTCACTATCTTAGAGAGATTTTTTTATTGGTACCTTATCAGCTGTCATTTAATGCATTGATGTGTTACATATACTTATATTTCATGAGTGTCATTGCTAAGTAGTTAACAATGACAA